CGGGTGACGCCCGGTGATGCCGGGTGACGCTAGGTGACATGGGGGGAGGGCACTGGGTGACATCAGGTGACACTGGGTGATGCGGGGTGATGCCAGGTGACATCAGGTGATGCTGGGTGACAATAGGTGACACTAGGTGACATGGGGGTGACACAGGGGTAACGCCAGGCACCACAGAGGTGACACCGGGTGACACTGGGGGTGACACCAGAGTGACACCAGGTGACACTGGGTGATGCTAAGTGACACCGAAGAGACACTGGGTGACAAGGGGGTGAAACTGGGTGACATGGAGGGGTGACACCACAGCGGTGGCACCGTGTGACGCTGGGTGACACAGGGGGGTGACACTGGGTGACACAGAGAGGTGACGCTGCAGCGGTGACACTGGGTGACACTGGGAGGGTGACACCAGGTGACAAGGGGGGACACTGGGTGCCACAGAGGGGTGACGCCACAGTGGTGACACTGGGTGAAGCTAGGTGACACCAGGTGATGTTGGGGAGGTGACACTGGGTGACATGGAGGGGTGACGCTGCACCGGTGACACTGGGTGACGCTGGGTGACACGGGGGGGGTGACACTGGGTGACTCTGGGTGACACTGGGAGGGGGACAGGGTGACACAGAGGGGTGATGCTGCAGTGGTGACAGTGGGTGACACCAGGTGACACGGAGGGGTGACACCACAGCGGTGACACCAGGTGACATGGGAGTGACACCGGGTGACACTGGGAGGGTGACACTGCGTGACGTGGAGGGGTGACGCTGCAGCGGTGACACGGGGTGACACAGGGTGACAGCGGGTGACACAGGGGGGTGACACTGGGTGACAGGGAGGGGTGCTGCTGCAGCAGTGACACTGGGTGACACTGGGTGACACGGGGGGTGACACTAGGAGGGTGACACCAAGTGACACTGGGACGGTGACACCGGGTGACACTGGGGATGACACTGATGACACTGGGGGGAGTGAGACACTGAGTGACATATGGAGGGGTGACACTGGGTGACACGGGGAGGGTGAGACCAGGTGACAGGGAGGGGTGACGCTGCAGCGGTGACACCGGGTGACACGGGGGGGGTGACACTGGGTGACAGGGAGGGGTGACGCCGCAGTGCTGACACTGGGTGACACCGGGTGACATGGGGGGGTGACACTGGGAGGGTGACACCGGGTGACACAGGGGGTGACACTGGGGGGGTGAGACACTGAGTGACATGGAAGGGTGACACCGGGTGACACTGGGAGGGTGACACCGGGTGACAGGGAGTGGTGACGCCGCAGCGGTGACACCGGGTGACATGGGGTGACATGGAGGGGTGACACCGGGTGACAGGGAGAGGTGACACTGCAGTGCTGACACTGGGTGACACCGGGTGACATGGGGGGGCGACACAGGGGGGTGACACGGGAGTGACACAGGGGAGTGACACTGGGTGACAGGGAGGGGTAATGCTGCAACGGTGACACTGGGTGACACCGGGTGACGCCGGGTGACACGGTGGGGGTGGGTGCCCCCGGGCCTCACCGGGCAGCAGGGGCTCGCGGGGGTTGACGTCCTCGGGCCCGGGGACGGTGATGACGTCCTCGCCTTTCCCGGAGGGGCGGGGCCGCGGAGCCCCGCCTCCCCAGGCCCCGCCCCTCCGAGCCCCGCCCAGGGCGAGGCGGAGGCGGGGGCCGGTGGGG